CGTTAAAGACCTCTGACTCCAAAACCTCTTGTCCATCAAAAAGAAGACCGGCGTAATTGGCCATATGGGGAGGTAGGTCTCTTGTGACCTCCCGGCCTTTACCTTTTAAATGGCTAGACGCAGCCTGTTGTTCTCGAAGGACCTTCGCAATGCCTCCATCACTTCCAAAAGATCAAGGAAGTTCTGATCCGTCAGTGCGCGCCAACCTACCTAGAGGGGTGTAAGCAACTAAACCTTCCTTGATACATATCTCGACTTCAGGGCAAAACTTGAGGCCAAGCCGATGTGTAGTCTTGTCACAAAAGAAACATCTTGCTTCCCTCATAATTTGCTGATTAGTCAAATTAGCGTTTGGAGTTATATGGACAGAGTGCAAAAACTCAGCGTGCGCCAGCCTGAGATCCTCCATTTGTTTTGTAAGTCGATCAACCGAACTTATGCCTATTGGTTCCACTAGTGCTTGGAAGTCCGGTCTCGTGACTGGAAAAAGACCGTAACCAGACCGGACCAAGACCGCAAAAGACCGGACCTGCGGTTACGGTCTTTTATTTTTGAAATGTAAAGACCGCAAAAAGACCGGTTAACGTGAACCGGTTTTGACCGGTTTGGACCGGTCTTTTGTAGCCCCTTGAATACCCTTTAAAATGCACCCAAGAACGTACGATTTGGTAAAAAAACGAGAGAGATATGAATTAAAATGTAAATTACTTTGGGGAATAATAGATGTACCAGACTTATTTTATAGAAGGACCAATTCCTAACAGAATTTAACGTTCTTGGGCTCGTTTTGAAGCTATTAAAAATGTTAATAAATTTACCGATTAATAATTTTAAAATATTGGCCTAAAGACCGGTCATAAACCAGTTAAAACCGATGCAGACCGAAACCGGTCTATAGACCGCAAAAAACCGCGGTCTGCGGTCTTTTTGCGGTCCGGTCTGGTCTTTTGACTTCTGGGGAAAATGCAGACCGGTTACGGTTACGGTTAACGCCCCTGGGCATCAAAAAACCGGACCGAACCGGACTTTCAAACACTAGGTTCCACAATAGGAGCCGCCGGAACAGTTTTCTCAAACGCGACCTTCTTAGCAGGCTTTTTCTTCTTCTTCACAACTGGAGCTTTGTCGATGTCGTCGTCGGATTCACTAGAACTCGTATCAGAGTCCGAATCTAAGTCTAAGCTTACCAGACCGATTTTCGCATCTAGATCCTCTTCGTTGAACTCCGCTCTAAGCCATCCTAGCAAAGAAGGAATGGACGGGGGTGACAATGTCTTCAAATTTGCTGCTGGGATTCGTTTTTTAACTTTCATACGAAGCATTGACGGAATCCCTCTATAAAAACAAAGAGACACTTCAGTTTCTAGCATGCGTGAAGGAGCAAGGCCTGAAGAAAGCGCCGTGAATTCTCTGTAATACTTATCCACGTCTCTTCGAGAGAGCATTATCCCTGATTCACCGTGCTTCAAACTCCACTGCCGAAGTCGGTTGGGTGAGTTTACAGGAATCGTGTCGTTCGAGCTATAAAGGTCAGCTAGAAAAGTTCTTGCCTTAACCCAATCATCACCAGCCCAAACAGCTGAACCTTCAATAACAATCCGCACTTTCGTGTGACAATAACGAAGTACGTAACCGGGGAGCTGTGTATGCGCAACTCGCGCACTATCTGCGTGCTGCTCAAGCAAGTCTAGAAAATCCTCTACGCGCTTTCCTTTGAAATAAGGAGCGGTAGGAGTGCCTGGAGTGGGCATCGGAATCCCGAGCGTCATAACGATACTCGATTCTGAAGAGGACGGCGCCAATGGCAAATCGGCCATCGAAGATTCAGGCATTGAAATCAAACAAAAGAAGCGAAAGAAAATGGAATCAACGATAGGTAAAACTTAGTGTCAAAGGTTCCATTCTTGACTTTTCTTGGAGAAGAGAAGCGACCCGTTTCAAGGGATGCGAAAGGGATGTATACGTCTGATAGCCGAGTAATCAGCGCGCAATCGAGAAAGTTGAACGTACCAAAAGTGCGAATCAGGAGATTTTTGTGATTATATGCATCTGAAAACTGAGTAATCAGCGCAAGAACGATAAAGAAAACCCTACCAAATGAGTTTTCAATACTCAAAGGAGGAGGTCGAATGGAATACCGATCCCCTGTCTCGGTCACCACTGTGGAAGAACAAAGGTTCTACACAGGAGACAGTAATCGGTCGCCAACCTCGAAAAGTGGGGAGAAAGAAAGGAAGTGGTGAATACGGACAAAGGAATGGAGTGTGAGAAACTTAGCGTGAACAGCGTGAGATTGCAAGTCGTGATCTTATCAAACGTGTGTTGTGTCAAGGTCGTTGGAGACAGCCGTGAGAGTACGTGTAGAGTCGACTAAATGCATGGCGTGGGTGTTATGAAAGCTTGTAAAGTCGTCTTGAAGAACGTCGTCGTTAACGGGGCCGAAAAGACGATGGCGTGCGTAAAAACTTTGAATACTTAAAAATCTTGTGAAGGGAATTTTTGAGGGAAAAAGGGAGGATGCTCCATTCGACAGGTGGGAGGTCACCTTTATACGAAATACAAAAATCACAAGACATCGCACGTACTCGCGTGCTGCCTGACCAAAATAAAAAGAAGGTTCTAAAAATAAAAACGAGCCAAAAATAAATGATTCTATCGTCACCTGCTTCCTCTCTCGGCTAATCCTTCGGGTTGGGAATGACTCGGGGAACTAACGACGTGGGGAGAGGTCTATTTCCGTGCGTCACTGCTGCCCTCAGTGCGGACGTCCCCAACGTCGATGCTCAACCCTACCGTCCAACCCTCAAGAGAAGCTCCAAGCGGAAAAGGATCTGTTGAAAAAAAAGATATAAAAAAAACAAAGACACAACAAATAAAAGCGAAAGAGTCAAAAGAAAAAGTACATGACCCAATTTAAAATCCCAAATCCCATTCCTTCAAAACTGCGAGAGTCGACACAAATAGCTGGAAGAGGCACAGCCACCGGTCTTCTTGAATCGATGTCTTCTGGCCTATTTCCTGGTTACACACATCGTCTCGCATTCTCTCGACTTTTAGTAAAGGAAATTGGGTAAAATAAAATAAAAACAGAAAAATAGAAATAAAATAAAATAAAAGTTGAAACTCGAAATAAAGAGGGCATCGTGAGTGGAACAATGCGCACTTCCACAACGTTTGTCTCCTTCCCTTTATGGTACTTTGTCTTATGATTGCCTTATAAGGCAAAAGTGCCTTGTCGTATTATAAGATACACTTCCTGATCAAAAGTAATGTCACATGATTTTTTGGACAAAGTTGGTGCTATAACACAAGAACCAAACATTTTAAGAACTAAGGTCTGGTGTATGTAACATAGCTAAGGAGGTGTAGATTGTACATACCAAGTCTGGGGATGAACGAATGAGAACTCAGGATAAGGCAGGGCATTGACTGTGACAACTTCCAAAAATGGGATGTGACAAAATTTGGAAATTCTGAATGACTGTAACCTACTGAAAGCAATTCACCATTTGAAAAAAAGATATTTTGAACACTGGATCTCCCTGCTATTGTCATAAGCCCCATAAAGTCTCTGAGATATAAAATTCTATAGACTTCCCAAAAAGGTAAATTTGAATTGATTCCCCTCCTTGGACATTTCCAGTTGCAAATATTGTCCAGGATTGATAGGAGAGGGTATCTATTGTCATAGTATTGTACATATACATAACTATTACTGTTCCATAATCTGATTTGACCACATTCACAGGAATAAAGCATGCAATAGCTAATAAAACTTTAGAAAACTGTGAAAATTAAGAGACATATAGTCAATATGGTTCCCAGAAATCCTGCTTCCAAGGGGTTACAGTTAATATAGGTGTTTTGGAATGTCAATGTTAAGTGCTTCTACCTATCTCCTGAGTTTTGGGCACAGATGCTTCTCAAATGGCCCACAAAGCTCACTGAAGCATGACAGAGAGATTTCCAAATCAGGCCTAGAAAAGTCTAGGGGTCTCAGATCCTTGTATAAATAGGACCTCTGTTTATTTCTTTGGGATAGTTACTATATATGAGAAGTGCCTTGTGAAATATTTTCAGCCCCAATTCACCAAGAAAAATGTCAAGGATTGGTCAAGGATGATTGCTCTATGCAAAATGTACTTTTATTGGAGACTTTTCAAGTTATACCCAGTGTAAATTTATTTGCTATCATATTATATTGCAGGGGTTGTTTAAAGGACATCCTGAGTCTCCATGGATCAACTCAAAAGGATGGTAGCATTTTTTCTTCTTGCAGAAAAGAAGGACCAATGTTGTAGATACTTGTTTACTTTCAGAAAAACTCTGGAAATTAACTTCTACAGACATCATGCGATGTTCATTTTAACATTTCTACCTACCTTTTGTATTATATGCACCACAAACATTAATAGGGAGTCATTTTGCCTCACTCCAACAAATATATTGAGTGAAAAATACATAAAGGGGAGAATAAGTTCAAATTTACCTTTTAGGGGAGGATATAAAAATTTCTAGCCCAGAGACTTTATGAAGCTCATAACAATAGCAGGGAGATCCAGTGTTCAAAATATCTCTTTCTCAAGTTGTGAATTGCTTTCAGTAGGTTGCAGTCATTCAGAATTTCCCATTTTGTTACATCCCATTTTTGGAAGTTGTCACACTCAATGCCCTGCCATATCCTCAGTTTTCATTTGTTCACCCCCAACCTTGGTATGTACAATCTACACCTCCTTAGCTATGTTCCATACACCAGACCTTAGTTCTTAAAATGTTTGGTTCTTGTGTTATAGCACCAACTTTGTCCAAAAAATCATGTGACATTACTTCAAGTTTTGATCATGATCAGGGAGTGTAGATATAAGATAGATGCTCAGACTTCTTGATCAAATACCATGAAAAGTTTCCCTGACTTTCAGACCTTTACGGTAAACGGCCTTATTCATGTCGAAAATTCCCTTGAAACACTATTTAGATTTTCGATGAGTCCTCGGAAGGGTCTACCAAGGGGGCTCTGGCAATAGAATGCCAGACTGGAACCTGGTTAGTTAGTCCAAGCGTCAGTCCCCAAAAAAAAAAATGGAGACCTCGACAACTGAGGTCCCAAATTGTCGTAGAACATCATATCAACTTACCAGGACCCAGCTGGACCTCCAGGCATGTTATTCAGTGCTGTAGAGTTCAAATACCAGTAGCTTTGGCTGTATCTAAGTACATAATCATGCCTATGCAACCAAAAGTTATCTTATCACAAATCATACAAATTTTTTAATCTACGACATGTAAATGGAACCTGCGACACAATCTCAGCCACCCAAGAGTTGCCATCGCCACAGAAGTCGAACCTGACAATTCCGATGACTTTGTACAATCGAAACGAAAAAGGATTCCACAACGTGGAGAAATCGACGCGCTCAACGAGTGCCTTTGTGGTCTAGTAGTAGCACCGTTGTCGGAGGGTGCCTTGCTGTGTAAAAAGAATGGCTGTGAAACATGATGGGCATGTACTATTCAATTCCATCATATCAAACTTGATCTTACTTACATTTTATTATCAGTACCACCTGCAGTGCATATCACTTGAGCAGGAACCTCGAAACTGGGTCTGCACGAGGAAGAGGGAAGGCCGCAGGATGACGTAGCATTACCATATTTGGATGTGTGCCTGATTACGTAGTTAGTTAGTCCACCTAAAGTTGAGGGGAAAAAAAAATCGACCCCAGGTCTTTTTTTTCAATGCCGGAGCCCCCTTGGGGTCTACCTCCGGAAGAACTCAGAATGCGATTATCACGATTCATGCAAGTGTCAAAGTAGCTGTTGACTTGAATGATCCTGGAAAGCCAGAACCGGACACCGTGAATAAGGGGTATAATGAAGATCTGGATTGCCCTCGTCCAGCGCATATGGACCAATGGCTAAGGTAAAGTGGCTTTTTATCTTGTTGTTACCGCTGACACCTCCTTGAAGCAAATACCATCCTGTTTTTGTGATAGACGACGAGTTTTCATCTACTTTATCGCGCGTCGTTGAACTGAGAATCTGGTACGTGAATCTTGCAACCTGTTTACTGAGTATTTTCTCAGGCCTACCTAAGTTGAAAGAGATGGCACCTTCAAGGCACCTTACAGTGTCTTTCACTGCCGTTTGCACAGCGTGAATCGTAATTTCGTGTTTGCTTCTGTTGTACCTGTTACCCTCAGGGTTTTTTGTCACGGCAAATTGAACATCTGCAAGGTCAGCAATTTCACGAGGAGAAAGGGATTCTGCTTCATGCCAGATGATTATGTATCCAGAGACCTGAGTTTCCATGGGCAAGGGCTAGAGTGAGGTCGGACGCTGGTTCACTCAAGATCCCCAAGATCAACTCATCCGTTCTGGGCCAATGTGTGACAAAGAAACCTGAGGACAACAGAAGCAAACACGAAATTTACGATTCATGTGTGCAAACGGCAGTGAAAGACACTGTATCGCGACCACCGCCATCCGACCAAGTTCATCTTCAGAGGCCGAGTTCCCATTTGTCTTTCACCACCTTGTGCCCTTAACCAGGTATGCCTTGTCGCGTCATCCTCTGCCTTGATCTAATTATCATATTGGATTTGTGGACTGCTAAGAGAGCCCGACGGAGGCCTTTAGTATCATTATCAGGAGCCCTGGAACACTATGCATTGTTATTTGCCTTGGTGTCGTGCAAGCAATTCCAATCCCTCTGAAGTCCCGATGGATTGAATACTTCATGAATGCACTTGAAATTGTATGGCATGTGGTAGACTTGGTAATGCTCACGGTCCATATCTGGAACGGTATTCGAAAAACTGAATATGGTGGGATAGAGACTCATGCTAGTGCAGATCTTCGAGTACTTCGTTCTTGGTGGCGGAAGACGACCAGGAAAACAAACGTTGAACGTTGACCAACATGACTTTGATCGACGTCATGTCGTCGACCACTATCATGATTTACGCCAACTTTACTAGCCTATTTTCCGCTGTTCGCCCGCCTCGGAATTTTCTCTTTACATTTGAGCCTCAGGCTGTCTAGCTCTTCTGCTTGGTGAGGGTTCAATCTGTCGTTGCTCATTGAATGTCAAGCTAACGCGGGAATTGAAGGATCACGTATCACCCACAAGTTTCTAAGCGGGTAGAGGTTTTGGAAAGGCTACTGCAGATATTGGGAACGCAGGGAAAGGAGTGCCAGTGAGGAGCGGGAGTACGTTATTATTCCGATTCTTTCAACTAGTAAGCGTGCATGGATGATCAATTCAATTTCCCCAGCGAGAAGAATTTTCGCATCCACCTTTCCAAAAGAGTTGGAAACGGATTTAAGGGGCACCTCGGGGGTACAAAACTCGCGGTTTGAGGTAGAAGGAGCACATGGGTTTTGAAGTTCGCCACCGCCCTCTCGTTTCCGCGAGTTGCTCGCATAACTGAGAAAAGTTGTTAACTCGTTTAGAAAAATTATTGGTGTTGAGGATTCCATTTTCCAAAGTCTATGCATACAGTCATTCCAGAATGGTGAAATGTCCAAAGGTTGGTATGAGGGAAAGAGTGAGGAGGAATGATTATGTAATAAACTCGAAAAATATCTCGTCCAAATGGGTCCAACACTAGTCCATTGGATACTTTCCCAGTTCATGCACGTAGAGTTAAGGGAGCACGTCCCCTCTTTTCCTCCCAAGCCTTCAACGATCTCAACAACTCAAGAATTTTGTCTCTTCGTCCCAATCGGACATCATTGATGCTCACGCTCCCCATCTTCACGCCACTTCCAAGCAAGAAGTCGAGTAGATGGAAGAGCCCATCAGGCTTAGCGTCGTTGGGACCAGACGGAAAAGCACGGTCGGGAACAGGAGGAGAGGCTTGTTCGCCCTTGATGGATTCTGCAAGACGCAGAAGGGCGAGTCCACCAAAGAACGTGGTGGCGTCGTGAATTTGGAGACGTGCGGGAAGGTGAGAGTTGGCCCATTCCACGAGGCCGTTGTCTGTTGGATTGAGCTGGTCCAGATTTCAGCACAGAATGTCAGAAAAACCTGGAAACTCGCGCACTATGAAGGGTTTACGCAGCTGCCTTGGTGATCTCTGAGGCACGGATGACTCTGGAAACAATACCCACTGCTCTCCTACTCATTATTTAGCATTGACGAGATCTAACGAGGATTGGCCCTCACCCATGGCTGATGGAAATCCAAGAACACGGGCATCGCGTTTTGACAACTGATTAGGATTTTCCCGCCTATGAGCCTTTTGAGTAACATCTCGAGCAGTTGGCGATGGCGGTCGTGTATGCATGGCTTGCGCAATGGCCAAAGGAATCGTTTGGATATTACTTGCCGACGAAGTGACGGGTTCTACGAGACGTATATGAAAATGAAACGTGGCTAAAGGCTAGAGAAAAAAACACACTTGTTTCATCTCGAGAAATTGTCGCTTTCAAGATCGCCTTCATCCACTCGCGAATAACCGTCCTGTCATCAGAGCTGAAGAAGTGCGTCTTCTCGCCATCGTGGTCGATCCGGAGTCCATAACGGCCAGTATCCAAGGTCTCGTCTACAGTCACCCTGTAGCCCACAACATCAAGGAATCCCGTTGGGCCAGCCTCCTGACAACGAAGCTTCACCCTTTGCAGTAGATAAACTCAAAGATAAACTCACAGATTTATCATCAGTCTTGAACCAGTACAACCGCTGGCCCTTGAGCACAAAATACCGTAGATTCCATACGTGATACCGGTCGGCCCTCTTACGCATCCACCCAGTGTGATCGGGCACACCAATCTGCTCATAAAAGGACCGGCCCTTGGCACCGATAGGACCTTTGCCCTCCACTGACGGCCCACCACTGCGCCACGCCAAAATTGACGTGCGTTTACGCAGAGTGCCACGGTGGGTAAGAAGATTTTCCTCCGATGTCTTCTCCTCCTTTTCCTTCTTCGAATCTCGGAAGAGTGACTGAGGTCCCTTATGTAGGCCACTGGAGGTAGAGGGACGCTGAAAGTACATCTTGGACAGACTGAACGTCGATGGTCTCTCCTTGCGCGTTTCACTAGCAGTAGGCAGCCCCTGACTTTTTTCAACATCACTCGGTGCTTCGAGTATAATGGGCGATTGTGATACTTTCTTAAGCAAGCCACTAGAAGTAGACGGCCGCTGGAAATATGTGGTTGATGCTGTACGAATGGCTTTCGAATCTTTCTCTGTTTTGAGGCTTGAACTAAACGGATGGATCAATAAATAAGCCAAAAGAATGCCGTTGTCAAGAGGACATACAGCTGTACATGAGAATTTTTCTGCTGTGAGCCACTAGAGGTACGCGGCCTCTGGACATACGAAGCCTTCTCTTTTTCCCTCGAAGAGCCACCAGAGGTAGACGGCCTCTGGACATACGAAACCTTCTCTTTTTCCCTCGGCGAGCCACCAGAGGTAGACGGTCGCTGGACATACAAAGCCTTCTCTTTTGTCCTCGGAAAGCCACCAGAGGTAGACGGCCGCTGGACATACGAAGACTTCTCTTTTTCCCTCGGAGAAGCACCAGAGGTACCCGGCCGCGCACCCGACGTCATATTGACGCCCTTTGTCAGGCTGAACGTCAAGGGTCTCTTCATGTGCGTTTCAATAACAATGGGTGGCTTCTGACTCTTGCCACTATCACCCGGTACCAACCTCTCACAGGCACCAGCTTTACTGCCACCTAGAGTGTACCGTGCACGACTATGCCTCCTCGTCCTAGCTGTCGCCAGGTGATGTCCGCTCTACCCCAAACACCAATATCAACAAAAAGTGCACTAAAGAAAAAGAAAAAGATTCATCGCTTACCGCTGTATGACCACTCGAATGTCCATGCGACAAACTCGAACAAGTCTCAAAACTCATCGGCCCATCCTCATTAATAGTAAAAGGGATCTCAAGCCCAATCCCACTACCATGCGTCGAGGACGACCCAATCTCCGCACTAGCCCCGCCATCAAACATGAAATCAGCCGGAAAGCTCCACGAAGGATAATGGTCCAATATTTCAGGAAGGGAATGGTAAGATTGACTGTGATGCTGTTTTCTGGGTAGCAAGTTGACCGAGCTAGAGGAGGCGTGGCGGAAGGAAGACGATGGAAGCGGCGTTTTCGTTATGGAAGAAGAGCTGGTGGAGGAGCTTAAAATCGAGGATTGGCGCAGGTCGGTGATGGAACTTGCGACGCGAAGACGTTTTCCCAATGCTGCTATCCCAATCTCGGTCTTGAGCAGATTGGTATCTAATCTGAGGAGGACGTCGCCTGTGATTTCTTGTTCTGTGGATTTTAGTCGAATCTATTGAGGTCAAGTGAATAGGGAGAAGCAGAAACTTACCAACAAACTTGTCGAGAATGGCTTTGTCAAAGCCTTTGCTCTTCAGCCATTCGACCACCTCTTCAACTGTCCAGTCCTTTGGGTGTCTCTCTTTCCCCCTCTCTTTCCCCTTCTTGTCCTCGATGGAGGGTCGATGCATAGAGGCCAGAGAAGAAGACATTTTGTCCGAAGGCGCCGCACAAACGACGCCATCAGCTACGGATATAGCTGTGTCGGTTGCGGTGTGTAAACACAACCCAGTTAATGACGCTTCACCATGCGTTGGTTGGTCGGAAACAGATAACGGGACCGATCTGATGGTCTCATAAACAGATGTGGGAAAAGACAGCCTCGCAGGAGAGTGGATCCTTTCGTCTGGGGTATCCGTGGTAACCTCCAAAGTCGAAAAGCAAGACATAGACCGAGGGAGGACAAACGATGACGCCCTCGTGGCAGTCTGCGCTTCCAAATCGTCCTTCTCCGCGCATCCACTCTCGGAATACTCAGCCAGCGTCGTCTCGGTGGCTTGATACCAATCTTCTACGTCGCTCGCGAAATCTGGCTTGTCCGTCTCCGTACTATCACTGCTTGCGAAACTTACACACCGCGCGTTGTCTTCCTCTGCACATAATTGTCTGAGTTCTTCGACGGCTTTTTGTACGTCCATCATCGTGAACTTTGAAACTTTTTGTGTGAGTTGAATGGACGGAGTATTTATTTTCTGCGGGACGAGACTCAGTCGCCCTTCGATAGTAGTGCGTCCCTAAGGAAAATGTGATTAGTTTTACATGAAATAGAAGCAGAAGAAAGCAGGGAGAGGAGCACGATGCGTTGTGTTATGGAATCACCCCTCGTCTCCAAGTGAAAAGAAAAAAGGACGCACCTTCCACCAGGCATTATTACAAGCCGTGTCAACCTTCTCGAGGTAGTCGTTAAGAGCATAAACGTATTCAGGCATCACCCATGAAATTTCGCCTCCCGGTAAAAGTCGGGTTTAATAAATTGGACGCAGAAGTGGTTGTGGGGTTGTGCTCCAAGGCTATGGAATGGCAACAGAAATTTGAGAATTCGGCCACTCAATCGAAGACTCTGATGATGTCAGATACGTCGGATCCAATCGGTCGTCAATCGGACAATAAGAGGACGTCGGGGCTCCTCTACGGATTGTGGTGGTAAAGGAAAGGAAAGAGTCCCTCCGTTTGTCGTGCAGATGACTCGTCTTGAGAAATGAATGGCATCAATGGGAGGAGGTGGTAAACCGAAGTAGTCGTAGCTAGCTCGAACCGCGGAAAAGGAGACTACGGCGGTGAATTGACGGGGTAATTGGGAGTTCCAAGCCATTTAGAGATCAGGAGTTGTATCATTCCACATAGCCCCGAATGATAGTGGGTAACGACATGAGAGGCCGAACGGAAGCATTGCTTGTAACAGGGTATTAACACAGACAAAGGCTGAGAGCGCTGAGGTTCCAGGTCTTTGCCATTCCATCATGATGTGAGAAGGAAAGAGATGTCCGTGTCACATGATGTCGTCGCGTCGCGTCACAGAGCATATGACTTTTGTCAAATAGTACAAGGCTCTTGTCGCAGCCTAAAGTAGATCCATGTAATTGCTGAATGCAAGAAAAATATTGTTTACATTGCCCAAGAAAAATGCTACATGCCCAAATCAACTTCCTCACTCCATCTCCCCTCAACCCTCATGGTTCCCCTCTCCCTCCTAGGAAGCACATAATCTCATCCATCTCAATCCTCCCATTCGCAACACCCTTCAACACCTCCGCCCACTGCTCAAAATGCCTATACCCATCCTTTACGTGCACCGGCACCTTCTCCTTCTCCTCAACCCCCAGCTCCATCCTCTCAATCAAAAGCACCAACGTCCCACACTGCGTTATACAATTAAACTCAATGATCAACTGTCCTATCCCCCCCTCTTCCTTGATCTTCAGCGAACCCTCGCCTGAGGTATGGCTGTGAGGCGCAATGTTCGCACCGAAGATGTAGAACGGTGTAGCGAGGTTCTCGAGGGCACGGTCTATTGCCACGAGGTGGATTTGGAGGACGTGCTCGTGGATTTTGGTGGGGTCGGTGTACACTTGCAACGCTTCCATTGCTGCCCATTTGAATAACCAGCGATATGTCTGGATGAATCAAGTTCAAGGCAAACTGTATACTTGGAAAATCGTGGAGAGATACCTCTATCCATCGACTGACATCTATATTCTGTACGACGCCACAGGTTTTTTTATGCTTGACCCAGTCCTCCTTCTGACATGTCTTGCTCTGCGAGGCCAGATCCCAATTAGACGATTAGATAGTACTAAAGGTAGCGCTCACACAATACCGAACCGTCGCACACCGTGCACAAGCCTTCATCTTGATACCCTCATATGCGTCCTTTCCGTTATGTCGAAGGGGGCAGTCGCGCCATCGGCAGAATCGGGCGGGTTTTTGGTCTGGTATGCGGATGCTGTACTTTGAGTTGATGATAGGCATATGGTGGTATGAGATAGAGTTAGGTAGAAGGTAGTTACGGTGTAAGTAAAAAAACAACATTCCAACATTGACCACCGCAGGACTCGAACCTGCAACCTTTTGGTACCGTTAAGCCATCGAAGCCAAACGCGCTACCATTGCGCTAGGTAGCCATGCAGAAGATTGATCGAAGCCAAGTAAGTAATGGTTATCGGCCCGTGTGTAATCAAGTGTACCTGAGTTATATCCGCTACGGTCACTGGTTGGTGACTTGCACTCACATGTACCTGCCCCTCCCCGAGCAATTTTCCCTGTGGTGCATCGACCTCCTCACAAGCGACACTTTCCAACAAACAGCGCCCCTTCTCTGCGTCATCCTCTTCCCCGCCTTCATCTTCCTCCTCGTCAACACTGCGCACCAGCGCGTCATGGGTTTCGGGGACAGCCTGACGATCACTCTCCCCCCGTGGCTTTGGTTGTCGGCCAGCGGGGATGGATCGTCAGCTAGGGGGAGTACGAGGGAGAAGAAGAAGAGTAAGAAACATGGAGTGAGGACGAGAGCTGAGCAGGCGGCGTTGAATGGCTCTGCGAAGCATGGTGTGCTGCGATAGCCTTTTTTCTTGAAGAATTATTCTCTGAACGCATACAGGTTCTGAAAAGGATGGAGAATATTATTCTGGCCTCGTCAACACATCTGGGACCTATTGCTTCATGAACTCGACTCTCCAAGTACGTTCCTTACTTTATCTCCGCACATGCCTCTGCTTACCTTACCCAGGCCTTGGCCTCCCTCACCTACCTCCAACCCCACATAGACGCCATCCACGCCAAAGCCGAGGTCTTGGACGTCCCAACACCCATCATCGACGCACTGCAGGACCTATTCCGACGTACGTACACACGTTTACCCAACAGGCTAATTTCAATGACTTTTTAAAAAAAAGGACTAAACACCCCCCGATCAACACACCACTCCATCCGCCCAACCGAAATAATCGAAGTCCTAAGCTCCCAAACCGAAGGCCGCACAAACTCGCTCTTCTACTCCCGCGAACACCAAGATGCCCAAGAACTCTTCCAGGTCCTCTCAGAGTGCATTAAGAACGAGATAGCCGCCGTCGATAAGGAAGGACATAGGGATCGCGGGTTGGGTGGGTTGGCGCAGGTGCCGTCGGAGACGATGAGGGAGATTGGGAAGAGCGTGTTTGATGGGCTGACGGCTAATCGGAGGAGCTGTGTGTTGTGTGGGTATACGGAGGCCGTGATGCATTTCGCGTTGGATAATTGGCAGTTGGCCGTTCCTAGGCTTGCGGTACGCTTTTTTATTTTTCCTATCCACTTACTATGCTTATCAGAGGCCGGATGCAGACTAGTTGTAGACTAGAAGACTGCCTCGAAGAATACACCCGCCTCGAAATCCTCAAAGACTGTATTTGCAGGAAATGCTCCGTCGTCGCTACGCACCACCGCCTCCTACGGGAAATACACACACTGGAAGAAGCGACGAAACCCGAAGCCAGGCCTTCCTCATCAAAGAAACGCAGGCTGAAAGAGGTGAAGCGCATGGAAGCGAGGGTGAAAGCCGCCATAACACAAGGCAGGATAGAGGACGACCTAAAAGACATAAGGCTCGAGAAAGTAACCAGCCCAGCGTCCACGAAACAATCCATGATCGCTCGCGTACGTCTTTCCTCCCTCCCCAAAAAAAATCGTATCACGTCACTAACACACAAAAATAATAAAGCCCCCACCCATACTCGCCCTCCACATCAACCGCTCCGTCCACTTTGGCCAATACGCCTCCAAAAACACCATAAAGCTCATATTCCCCGAAGTCCTCGACTTAACACCCTACACCACCTCCGGAAGCCTCTCCACAGTCCCCACGTCCGCCATATCAACACCCCCACCCGCCATTCCCCGCAGCACGACGCCGACGCCCAAGACGCGCGGAGTGGCAGGGGGGGAGAGGACGATATATAGGTTGGCGGCTGTTGTGTGTCATTATGGACAACATTCTTTTGGGCATTATATTGCGTATCGCAGGAAACCACCACTACCGAGTGTTGGAGGGGAGGGAAGGGAGAGGTGGGTTCCGCCGAGGATTGTGGATCCGATTAAAGTGGAGGAGATGATGATGATGAAGGGCGAGGGCGGTGATGATTCTCTTGGGTTTGAAATCCCGGAATACGTGTTTGAAGATGATCCCCTCGTCAACCCATCATCATCCAGAAGAGGAAGGGGGTGGTTGAGGATAAGCGACGACTCTGTGCGTGAATGCGGTATCGAGTCTGTCCTACAAGAAGGCAGCGGGGCGTTCATGCTCTATTACGAGCGTGCGGAACACGCCGTACGGGCGTACCCTTCCCTCGACTCTTCGTCGTCGGTTAGGACGACGGGGTCAGAGGAGACGTTGAAGCCTGAGATAAGGACTTTGGATTTGAATGGGAGTGTGGGGAGTTTGGTTAGTGAGGTTGGGGTTGGGGTTAAGAAGGAGGCGTCTTCGTCTTCTTCTGCTTTGTTGGTGGAGGAGGACAAGGACAAGGGAAAGGGGAGGATGTCGTCTCCTTTGGTATTGGGTACTTCCCCTTCACATTCTCAACTCTTGGGCCCGAGGGTTGTGAGGAGTGTGGCTGCTGTTCGGGCGAGGACGGTTGAGAGGGAGGCGGCTGGCTCGGCGTCGGTTTCTTCTTCCCTTAGTTCGTTGGGTTCGCTTGGGTCGAGGTCTTCCCATCCTTCAGCATCTAGCAGCAGCAGTGGGGTTACCAAGTCGTCTTCTTCTTCTTGGCCCAACAACGGTCTTATGAAGTCTCCTTCCTTACCCAACAACGGTGTTTCGTCCCCCAACAAGAACGGAGTTACAAAGTCTCCTTCACTACCCACCACTTCTACCCAGCCAATACCCATACCCATACCGAAGAACTCGAAGAAGGCGGGGCCGTTACAGATAAACGGGAGGCCTCATTTTGTCGAAGAAGAAGAGATGGGGGAGGAGGGGATGATGACGGCTTCGGCGCCTTCGATATTGGTCAATCCCAATCCCAAGACGACGCACACGAACACGAACACGAGCACAAGGAAAGCAGAGGAGGAGGAGGAGCAGAGGACGACGGGGAAGAAGCCGCCGCCGCCTCCACGGATACAGTCGCCCAAGCCGATACATCCTTCGCCTGTTGTACATGTTGGGCTCAAGGCGTAGCTTTCTCTGACTTCGTTCTGCAACTCACCACTTGACCGAACCGACGCTCTGCACATCATCTCCTACTCGTACGGATCCTGGATCTCTGCTTTCTTTCCTTCCTCTATGCATGCATTGAACCCCCCATACTATCGTTCTTGATCATTACTGACGTATCTTATTACCTTGACTTCTACCCCCCCCCCCCCCCCACCTTCCCCTCCCACCTCTTTTTTTATTTACTTATTCCAGTGTTTACGTCTTTGTGCTCATCGGTGTTGGTGGTGCAGAAGAACACCCCCTTTTTTGCATGTAATCAGTATGTAGTAGCATTACAGTAAATTACATTCCATTGTTAGACGTCATCTTTCTTCTTTCCGAATCACAACGAGTGAGAATTCATGAAAGGACGTTACTATTGTAGATGGCTATATATAAATACAAAAGAAGCAGATACTTAGATACGTCTAGCACCCTTGAATTTGAATCAAAGAAAAGATAAACAGCATGCGTGAGGTCCTTGGGTTCCAATTCCGTCCGTTGTGAGACTTGTTTAATGAGATAGGATAGGACAGGACAGCAACGGCAGCGAGCTTGCAGATTTGTTGGATGGAGTCTAGGCTCCCAACCACGGGTTGGGAGAGGAGGGAAGGGGGAAGGTGGGATATCGCGGTCGTCATGATCTTGTCGTCATCGCTGCTGCTGCTGCTGCCATCGCCGTCGTTGCGATATCCTCCATTTTCTTCATTCAATCATTCGTGTGTTGGTGGCGGTCCAAATCACCAATAAATCCGACGTTCAATGGTCCGACGGCCCGATGTAATCCCAGGACGGGTGTACACGGTACGTTTTACTCGGGTGACGGTGGGATACCTGTTGTTGCACCAAAGTCAGTTTAGTCCAGGTACGAAGATCAAATTGAGGCAGGCCACGTTCGAAGGGGGGAAGGAGAGCTTACCAGGCATGGTATACCTCGCTGTCGAGCTGGACTTCGATTATTTGACGACCCTGTGTATAGTATGAGGAATGGTTAAGCTTGGGAGGGAGGCAGGGGGACGAGGAGGAACGTACGGCATAATCGATGTGTGAGCCGATGACGAGGCCTTCTTGACGGCCTTTCAGACCGTGGCGGACGGCGACGATGTCACCTGGCTATATCCGATTTTGCACATAAGGACTCGAGAGGAGAGTGTAAGAGGAGAGGGAGAACATACAGTGATAGAGTCGTTGTCGAGGATTGTAGATGATTCCATAGTAGTTGCTGGGTGTTCAATTGGGTTGAAAAGTCGGGACGAAACGTGCGAACGAAGTCAAGATTGGGATGGGACTTGGTGGTGGTTGGAAGATGTAGGTTTAGTAGACGATGCAGCTGGTTTTTATACGCAGCTCCTGAGATTAGATGGGTGACCAGGTTCTCGACGTTCACAAAACGCGAGGCGGGCACGAGGCAGTCGCTTGTTAATGTCAGGTATTTCTCCGTTTTTGTTTTTGTACCCGAACAGCCTGTTTCCAAGCATCATTTTGTTTTATGAAAGGCATTGTTCTCTTGATTGAATGTTGTTCGCCGTCAACGGGGACTTGAGAAATTACATGTACTTAAATCAGTTTTGTGCACACGATGGGCAGGTTGCTGCAACTCAAGAATTGCTGGGCCTTGTATTATTCTGCATCTTAAAAAAGGGACGTACATGCATGCGCACGATGCGCCGGACCGACCGACTGAAAGTCAAAATTGTAAAACTCCTCGTGTGCACAGTGAGGCCTAGTGAGGCGTGACGCCGACGAATCACGATGAAGAGGCAAACGATTAGATGCCCGATGGGCTGACAGTTGACTCTGTCCCCCAGGAGCAGAAGTGAAAATGGGTGTATCAGATACACGCGCGCGTGGCAGTGACTCAAGCCTCAACGAGACCACGCGAGTTGCCTCACCCTCCCGGCCTCCACCAGATCATATCAAGCCATCGTCGGATCAGCTTACCCAGCCGCCACCACCGCCTTGCTACATTCCCCTCCAAACCTTGAATTTGCGAACTGTAAGACCCACCACCACCGCCACCACCACCACCACCGTCATCATCACCCCCTAGTCCTGAATCATGACCTTGTCCAAACTGGTCCATTTCCAACTCCCTTCCGTGTTTTTCGATCCCCTTCAAAATATCCTCCGCGCTCATCTGGTACATCTTCTCAATCTCCACTGCCCTCTCATAGTACGGCCGGCGGACGGCATAAGGTGCCAATACATTGTGTTTCCGCACTAGCTTATTTAGTTCTGCAATTGCAACGTCATGGTACGACTGTTCTCGCCGAACCCAATCTGGGTCACGAAGGGCTTTTACGTCGCTGGCGGTAAGCTTTGATAGGAGCTGTTGTGGGTGCGAGGTAGTCAAGTTACGCAGTGTGCGTCGGACCCAGGACTCGCGGAGGTTTGCGCGGAATGTTTGGACCGCGTTCTCTAGCTCTGTATTTGGGAAGAGGTCGAGTCTTGCAGGCTGGACATGTAACAGAAGGACACACCTCCTTGAACTTCAATCCAAGGGGGCGCTGCGCCATTTCTTTGAACTATACGGTTCATGAGGAATTCTTCGCGAGGAAGGAAGGGATTGAATTCTTCAACGGCTTGGGTTAGAGGTTTGCCGCGTCCTTTGACAGTGTTGAATAGACCTGCTTTACGTGCTTTCTGGACCTTTATCAGCCTACAAAACAAACAAACCAGTAAGAGGTAAATTCGCCTGGATCTTGTCTTCGACTAAACTCGTCCATCCCTTCAAACCAACGGGATTGGTTCGCGGGGCGTTCGCACGGGCGTCTTTTACGCCGAGCTTGTAGTCCAGCGTTGACTCTCTAGCTTGGGTCAACCGCCCGGCTTGTTGTGTCCTCTTGAACTCTTCCTTTTCCTTCTTCCTTTCATGGTCATCGACAGAGAATTGGGGACTTGTGCGTGTGGGAAGAATAGGCGGAGGCAGATTAGCTAACTTCACCGACGAGACCTTATGAGAAGGGACTTTGAAAGTCGTATGCCATGGTTTGTGATCCTCACTTGACGGGAGCAGGGGTTGAGTAGCCCACGATCCACCGGACGGTTTCAAATTAATATTTGGGGTAGTGGGGAAAGTATTAATGCCCGTCAGGGGAATATCGCCTAGCAGCTGCGGAGGAGAAATCTTCAACTTTTGTTCCGCAGATTGAATTGATCCGGTGCGGAGGGGTTTGTATTTGTCGACCAGCATGCGCAGCACCGTGTCCTGGATCCGCTCGTCGCCATTCCAGTTTTCGTGTTGCTCTACGACGCGAGTTGAAGATGACGTTGAGTTAGAGGCAGCTTCAGCTTCTTCTCTTGCTGCATCTTCGAAAAGCTTATCACTGGCGCTCTTCGTGGAGTACTTGAGAACAAAGCGGCGATGAAATAGGATAGACTTGTGGTAAATTAAGGAGCAAGATGGTTGCATTAATGCAGGGCTCCAGCGGATGAACGTTCGCCGTTGATTGGCCCTGTTTGATTCCAAGGATCTCAAAAGTCGTTAATATGTGTCCCCAATTTCGGCACACCGCATCAACGTTGCTTCCCACCTCCACACCCCACAATGTCCTCTGCCAGTTCCGCTGTTCCTGCTGGACAGGATGTCCCTGCCCTCAATGGCCTCCCTGTCGAGGTCATGTTCGCCCAGATCATGCAGGCAGTCCAAAAATCCGTATTCGTCAACCCCTTTGTTACCTTGACATCACGTTAACGTATCCCCAGCACCGCGATATCAGCGAACTCAGGCAAGAGTGCTCAGAGCTTAGGCTGGCTAATACTAGTCTTGAGAGGCAGGTCCGGGAGGGTCTCCAGGTAAGCGTTGTCATCTTTTCTCCTTATTCACAGGTGGGAGCTCAACTGTCATCTGAATAGTACAACTTCCATACTTCACGTAATGGGACACCTGGATTCATGACGCCAGCCCCTCCAAGCCCCCAATTGAGGGCTCTAAAATTCTCACCGTTCCTCAACCACCCTATCCCATCGATAACAACCACCAGCCCCGATACCTCATACTACCGCCCATCTCCGCTGGGTGACAACACACTCACCGCATTTCCCTTTGGCAACCGCGACATTCCCGGCTTCTACGTCGTTATCCCAGCGGGAGGCGCTGGCACCCGCTTATGGCCTCTATCTCGAGAAGAACACCCAAAATTCCTCCTGGATCTCACATTAAAGGGGCGTTCTCTGATTCAAGCAACGTGGGACCGTCTCCTCCCCCTTTCCTCCGCCACACGCACCACCGTTGTCGCTGGGCCCGGACACGTCTCCTCCATCCGCGAACAGCTCCCCGACCTCCTCCCAGACAACCTCTTTTGCGAGCCGGGTCCAAAAGACTCTATGGCCGCCATTGGTTTGGCAGCTGCGGTCCTAGCCCGCCGTGACCCAGAAGCTGTGATCGGATCCTTTGCGGCTGATCATATGATTTCAGGTGATGATGCCTTCTTAAGCGCCGTCGCTGAAGCTGTAGAGGTTGCAAGAAAGGATTACCTCGTCACTATTGGGATTGCTCCCTCGCACCCGTCTACCGGGTTCGGGTACGTCCGTCTTGGGGAAAAGTTGGGCATGAAAGAGGCTCCCAATGCGAGGCTTGTGTCAAGCTTCAAGGAGAAGCCTGATGCGCGCACTGCCGCTTCGTATATCGCAACGGGTAATTACCGCTGGAACGCTGGTATGTTCGTCACGAAGGCGACGTTCCTTCTGCAGTTGTTGGATGAGTATAAGCCGGAATTGGCGGAGGGCTTGAGGAGAATTGCGGATGTTTGGGATGATGAGACGCAAAGGCAGGCAGTGCTGGAGGAGGTGTGGTCTGGGTTGGAGAAAATTCCGATTGATAATGCTGTTGCTGAGCCTGCTGCTATTGAGGGACGAGTCGCTGTTGTTCCTGCTACTTTCGGTGATCATTGCGTTGCATATCTTTCTTTTTTGTTGCTGATAGGTATTGTCGTAGGTTGGGATGATGTCGGTGATTTCTCGTCGCTCGCTGACCTCCTGCCAGCCGAGGCTAACCAGCCCCGCATTTTGGGTGATAACAACCTTGGTACGAAACACCTCTTTTAAATAATTATAACAATAATAACACTGACAATGATTTTTCAGTGGTCACTGAGCAAGTTGCAGGAGGCATCGTCGTCCCCGGATCCGGCCGCCTCATCGCCTGCCTCGGCGTCGACGATCTAGTGATCGTCGACATGCCAGACACACTACTCGTCACTACCCGCGCCCGATCCCAGGAAGTCAAGCGCCTCGTCAAGAGGTGCCGCGAGGCCGGTTGGAAGCAACTCTTGTGAACAAAACCCCCATCCTTCCTTCTGTATACCAGAGCAATACGGTTCAAACCCCTTCCGTACAGTGGATGTACGTACATGTTGGTTTTTCTATTGTAGTGGCATGTGTTGCGAACACCTTTTGTATCTATTAATGACTTTTTCTCGTGGACAGAACAGTGACAATGGACTCCTTGGACTCGTCTTTACCTTACATTCTTTCGTCTCTCTTTTCACTTTAATAGTACTCATTCTCTACATCTACTCTACTCTACACTTATCTCCACTTCTCAGTCCCCCTCCCCCATCATTGAGGATGCTGATTTTTCACCCGCTATCTTGAAATCACCAGACCCGGTTCAACACTCACTCTTGGTTCATTATGTAGGGGCACTCAGAGTTGAAGGGAGTGACACTTGAAGATCCTGCTTGTTGCTGGTTGCACTATGCACCCCAGGTCAGGTTATTTTCCCTGGGTGTACAACTGGGTATATAGGTCAGGATAACTAGTTTCTCGGACTACAATCCCTGGGTAGTAAATAGAATAACTTGGTCAACAGGTTGTTGATACCTGGTTAGAATAACTTGTTATATGACGGAAATAACTCGTCCCAATATCTTGTTGTATCAGTTATTATCACATCAGGCAGCGACGGATATGAAGGGCCACATAGGTGTAAACATAGGCACTAAAAACTGGAGAATAGACCAAAACCAGTGTTCCCCTAACATATTTGCTCTCATTTTCTAAGTTTGGTGATGGAATTGTATATCCAACATATGCATAAAACACATATGCATAAAACAAACTTACAATAAAAAAAAGGATCAGATCCAAAAAATGATTGAATAAATATGATCTAAATTCATATTTAGAATTTGCTGAACTTCCTGGGCCAAGATTTTAGCATATTCTAAATATGAACTCAGATCATATTTATTTGTTCATTTTTTGGATCTGATCCCTTTTTTTATTGTAAGTTTGTTTTATGCATATGATGGATGTACAATTCCATCACCAAACTTAGAAATTGAGAGTAAATATACCAGGACAAAAGAGATTTTAGCGTATTCCACAGTTTTGGGAGCATATGTTTATCCATATGTAGCCCTACATATTCGTCGCTGTCTCAAGTGTATAACCTGTTAAGCATGTTATATTGTAGAGGCAAAACAGCTGGGAAAATGGGTTTTCTCACTCCTTGTCCTACAGATAGAAATCATCACATTGTTTGATAGTATAAAAAACTCGGAAGATAGATGAAATTGAGGCTATAGCAACTGAGTGGGTATATACAACCTTTCTATGCCACAGAGTCAGCTACCTCAGTGCGATGCTTGGACAAACCCACCATTGCTTCTTCGTCTGAACCCAAATCCTCATTCCCAGACTGAGGCCCCTGATCCTCCATATTGATTGTTGTCATCATCATCCTTGTCCCCATCCCCACTATGAGCCCACCAGTTTTTGATCAATGTCACCCAGTCTGCAGGAAGCACTTTCGTGTGAGATACAGTATCTTTGAGCAGGTCTGGACTCTGGCACATTGAATTTGATTGGTAAGTCAGTTATACTGAGGAGTAAAGCACTTACCAAACAGAAGATCTTAGCCAGTTTATGATGGACAATGTCAAGAGGTCAGCCGGCGCTGCTGGATGGGGGAGGGAGAAAGAGGTTGTTTGATCCCATCCTTGCATTCGTTGACTCTGAGTATTATATATAGAGATTGTGCCATATACTCCACAATGACATCAAAGCTCCCCTGAGATATGTTGAACAGGTTATAATTAACTTGGTATCTACTGGTTTCAAGTACAAGGTCAAATTTACTGGGTTTCCAGGTGATTTGGATAACCTGGTAATATCTGGGTATTATCACTGGGTTCAGAATAACCAGGTAGGTACCTGATCTTCCAGTGAAAGGTTGAAATAGTGTTCGCAGGTCCAGTCTACAGGACTGAAAATATACATAGGACTGAACTGGACTGAACCACGGTCCGGTCTTTTTCCAGTTGCCAGTTGCCCACATTTGTGGTCAGTCCAGTTGCCAGTTGCCATGTTTTTGTAAATATTTAAAAACCGAAAAAGACCGGTTTAGACCGGTTGCAACTGGTCTTTCATCCCATAACATGTTGGACCTTGCTCGCACACATTTTTACTCAATTTCCGGTCCCTCAATCATCAAAAACGGTCAAGAATTGGTTGAGATATGGCCAAAAACATTTTTATACGCAAGTTGAATGTATATCCTTTCCATTTTTGCCATAACTCAGTCAAATCTTCACGGAATTGCTTAAACTTTTGATAAGTCTGCGGAGAATTAGAATATCTATCTACGTATGCTATGTACGTAAGGTAATATTTAGTTTCTGTGGTACAATAAATTTTTCAACAAAAGACCGGTTGCAACCGGTCTGGACCGGTTTTTTTTGCGTTGTGGACCGATTAGGACTGGTCTAAAAGGGTCCGGTTGTGGTTGCCAGTTGCATGGTTTTGAGGTAAAAAACTGGACTTAACTGGACCTGCGAACACTAGGTTGAAAGCACTTGGTGATCGGGGGGAAAACAACTTGAACTGGGATCAGCAAACAATGTTTATTTGCTTTGATTGATTGGGAAATCTTAGCCTGCAGAAGATTATCCTGCACTTCCAACACATCATTCTGCAGTTGTCTAATCACGTTGTGAGCGGATATATCTTCTTGTGAGGCGCTTTTTGTGAGAGGTATGAGGGGGGAATTAAGTGTGGGCTCTGTCCCATTCGTAATTGGAATGGTGTAAAGCTGGTCGAGGTATTGACAGTATTCATTATGTGAAATCAGATGCATGGGAGCACATGTGACCAGCCCATCTGGTTCTGTTCAATGTAGTAGCGCAGACATTGGTTGATCATTTTGTTTGTCCTTTCGCTTGCACCGTCCGTCTGCGGATGATATGCCATTGATAATTTCAGTTTGATGCCTGTAAGCTTGTGGAGTGCTTTCCAGAACTTTGATATGAACAGTTTGTTGTGGTCCGAAATGATGTCTGTAGGTAGTCCATTTTTGCAGTACCACTTGTCAAAAAAATGTATGCCAGTTTTTCTGTGTTGATATCTGTTCTTGTGGCCACTAACTGGATGTCACTCCTGAGATGATCAGTGAATGTTATAATGCAATTGTTACCATCATCTTCAGGGAGTGGGCCAATAAAATCGATTGCCACTGAGTCCCCACATTGGTCCAGTATTGGGAGTGGATGAAGTGGTCTGATAGGTTTTGATGTAGAAGATTTATTCTGTTGACATTCAGGGCATGATGCCACATATCCCTTTTCAAGGTCCCAACACATATTGGGCCAATGTATGCTGAGCGCAGTGAGCCATAGGTTTTGTTGAAACCAAAGTGGCCGAGTGTGTCATGCACCAATTGGAACAGTGTTTCGCAAAGGGAGCCTGTGCGTGGAATAATTAGTCTGTCCCCGATGTACCACAACCCTTCTGTTTGTTGCAGTTTGGGCCAGCTCGGTGTTGCTGATGGGAGTTTCTTGCACCATGGGTCAGCAATATAACCCTCTTTGATTTGCTGCAGTAGTTGTTTGTCCGTGGTGGTGGGCAGCATAGCATTAACTGAGCAGATGTTGGGACTGCTGGAGAGAGAAGTTGCGGCAGTTAAGGCAGAGTTATCGTCATTTGACCAGATGACAGTGATGTGGTTGTTATTGTCTTCACAGTAACTATACAGGTGCTGTGTGTGTGTCTTTCAGCTTTGTCATGAGCATCTTCACAGGGCAGACATGAGAGCACATCCTCCACAGTGTTTTCTTCACCCTTGATGTAAACAATTTTGGCATTGTACTGTGACATGAGTTCCATCCACCTGGCTTGTTGCCAGGATGCATATTAAAATTCTGAAGTGTCTTGTGGTCTGTGTATATGAAGAACAGGGAACCCAGTAAGTCAACACACCATTTTTTCAATGCGCAAATAATTGCCAATAGTTCCTTCTCATGGACAGGGTAATTCAGTTCCATGCCTTTAAATGTCATGAAGTTGAAGGTGACAGGTCGTGCTGAACTCCATGTTTTTCCAAAAGACAGGACATCACCAGAACATCGGTCGCTTGCATCGGTTGTTACAAAAACCTTGTATTCGGGTAGCTTGGTCAGGTCAATTGTTGTCAAGCATTCCTGCCCCACTATGATTTGTTTAGTTGAATCAAAGGCTTTCTGATATGCATTTGTCCAGGCAGGGAATTTCTTTTCCAACGCTGTTGTTGTTAATTCTATTAGAATTCCAGTGTATTCTGCCAGCACTGGCAAAAAATCTGCCAAATATCGCACAAGTCCAAGGAAACTCCTAGTTTCTGTCACTGATTTGGAAATAGGCCAATTCACAATGTGTTCAGCTTTCTTTTCATCTGCCTCTATGCCATGTGCACTGATGTGATGTCCCAAAAAATCAATTTCAGTACAGAATAGGTGAGTTTTCTCCAGATTGACATAAAGTCGTGCATCTTGGAGAGCCTTCAGCACCTTTTGGACATTTTGTTCATGTTCTGCCAAAGTTTGTGACCATATGACAATGTCATCTAGATATATGTGGCAAAATTTTCCTAAGAGTTCACACAAAGTGGACATTACTCAACACTGATGGATTGCCAGCACGTTTTTTTAGTCCCATGGGCATTACTAACCACTCATATAACCCAAGTGGCATATTCACAGCTGTTAAATGGATATGCTCTGGATCCATCCGTGTTTGGAAAAATGAATTGGTCATATCTATTGTGCCCCAAATTTTTCCCTTGGCACAGTCTGCGAGTATATCATTTATATGTGGTATGGGGTGTGAATCAGTTACAGTATTCTTGTTAAGTTGTCTATAGTCATTGACCCATCACGGTAACACATTTGGGTTTGCTTTTGGTACAATAAATGCAGGAGATGCACACAGTGATGATGACGGTCATATGCGGCCAGCATCCAGATGCTGTTGGATCAAAATACTCCAAGCTTCCTTATATTTGCACAGGGAAGGATAGGAACATGACTTGATGGTTTTCTCAGCATTCTTTAATTGTATTGAGGCAAGGACATTTGAAGGTAGTTCGTCGATGTGCGGAATTGGTTCGAAAACCTCTTTAAATTCTGATCTTAGTTGAGCATCATGCTTCAAAAGTGTTTCCTTAGCTGCCAATATTTCAATTCTATCACATATAGCCCCTGCCACGTTAAAGTCTTTTGTGACTTCAGGTCGCAATTTGTGGTTTTTGAAGCGATCATTACAGACCATCATAAGTTCAGCCATCATTAATTTCTTATCCGCTTTTGTTTCCACTATTTGTTCCTTCAGCTTGCGTTTACATGGTGGAGGGGGCAATACAAGAGGGGGGTTCAATAAGTCATAATGTGATTGTTTGTCTATACAGGTACGTGATCAAGGGGGTGTCGGGATAAAAAAAAAAGACCTAGGGTCGATTTTTTTGGTAGTGAGCGCTGGGCTGAACCAACCACCCAACATAATCAGGCACATGTCTATTTTAGGAAATATGACGTCACCGTTGTGACGTTGTCTTCCTGTCCTCGGGCCTCTCGACGTTGAACATGCATTGCAGACCCAATGCATGGGCACCTGCACAAGGTAAATACAAATGAGGTGATATCAGAATGGTTTGACATAAAGATGTAAGTATGTTTTACATTGAAACCCTAACAGAAAGTGGGTTTACCAATTGACCACATCCCACTGGATCACATTGCCAGTGGTCAGCTCTGCTCGGGATCCACAAAAGCAATCCTCCAATCGACAACCTTATGTTTTCATTTTTTGCACCGACCTCATGTTTCCTTGCTGTAATGGTTGCCACACTAAGGAAAGTTATCAATGGTCCGATATTATTATTGTCTTATGTAAGCAGTCTTAGTTGTGTTTTTTGGTGCATCCTGAGGCATTTAGCACATCTTGAGGTTTTCTAGTATCTATTATGTATAATTTATCCACCAGGAAGGCCGCCCATAATGTTTTTGGGCCAAAATTTTTGAGCTTCCAATTTTTTTTTAACGGCCTGATGGCCCAACCAACCAACCGGCCCCCGGTCCGGGATTATGATCCCGACACCCCCTTGTACGTGATCCATGGTCTGTTACAATGCTGTTGTGTATCAAGAAGGGAAGTCTGAGGATGACAGGCATGCATAGTCCAGGAGCGATAAGGGCCATTACTGTTTTCGAAATCCAAACGGCATCTAATGAGGTAAGAAAAAGTTTAACATATTCAAGAAGTTCTGATTGAGACTGTTGTCCATTTTGCAAAGCAACATCTACAATTTCTGGGGTTTGAAGGCAACATTTTTTCAGCCCAAGTTGTTCTACAAGTTCAGGGCATATCAAGATGACATGAGGAGGTCTTTATCATGCCCCACTGATTCCTGCCGGATTCCGGTCATTCCTGCGGAATCCAGCGGAATCCAGAGGAATCAAATTTGGTAGAGATACCAGCCAAAATGACATTCCGGGGGACAAATATTCCTCGGGAATGATGTCATTCCTGATTAGTAGCCGGAATGGTCCCCGGAATGGACAAAAAGGAATGCAACCGGAATGCAATGTCCGGAATACACATTACTAATCAATAATATTAATAAACATTAATATACCCATGCCCAAATCGAGTCTCGGCAAACGCCGAGGCTCGATTTCACATCATCAAACAATCCACAACGTTTGTCTTCAAACCACCACCATCGTCGTCGACAACAACCGGGCACACCACGCCACCACCCTCGCCAACGGCCACCACCAGCCACAACCGTCGCCGTCACCGCCCACTGAAGACGACGATGGACGACGATGGATGACGAGGACGACGACACGTCAGCGGACGACGAGGACGGCCACACGTCAATGGACGACGACCACGTCAACGGACGACGACCACGTCAACCGACGGCCACGACCCACGACGTAGAGCACCCACCCCGTTGGCGAAGACGACGACGAGTGCATACGACGACACGACGACGACGCGACACAACGGCGACGCGACGCCACGACGACAATGCAACAAGACGACGACGCGCGCCCACATCGTCGAGCGCCCACGTCGTCGACAACGCAACACGTTGACGACAACGCGACACGACAACAACGCGCGCCCACGTCGTCGAGCCTTCCTTCCCTCCCTTTTCCCCCCTTCCCTGTCCCCCCTTTCTCTCCCCCTTCCTTGTCCATCTCCCCTCCCCTTTCTCTCCCCCTTCCTTGTCCATCTCCCCTCCCTTTTCTCTCCCCCTTCTTTGTCCATCTCCCCTCCCCTTTCTCTCCCCCTTCCTTTTCCCTCCCCCT